GAAATTTGCATGTTCTCCCCGTGGTCGTGTGCATTTTTCTCTGGGTCCTCCGGGTTTTCCCTCCACATTTAGAAACACGCGTTTTGAGTATTTTGCTTCAATAAATATCCACTTAAGCCACTTCGTTGAGCCATCATTTCAGGCCAGGTCACTTATTTAAAAAGAATTGTATAGCCCAGTGGGCCTTACCTGCGAAATACAAAATTTGGTTTTTAGCTTAAACTGCGAGAAGGCTTCTTCCATGCAGTGTCATAAGGTGAGACCACTCTGCATGATCCGTGTGGGTTTCTTGGAGACACTCAGGATCAATATCACTCGCCACTCATGTGAGCCCCGGGTCCTCCAGTTGTTCCCTCCACATTTGGAATCAACATGCGTTTACAGTATTTGGCTTTCAGATTCCAAAGAACACAGGATGAGATGTTACTATCCTTTGTGCAAGCACTTCCAAGAGTTCATGAACAGTGAGCCTGGTGAAAATTGGGGAGCGCATCGTCAGTAGTGAATCTTTGGTTCCTAGGGTGTTTCGGCCTTTCATACTATACACCCTCCCCAAAGGCGGCCAGCGACAGGGTGATCAATCCTACGCTTGCGTCCCATTCCCAATTAGTCATAGGAGTTGCCTTGTTGTTGATAGCCAACATCCCATGGGACTATGCATGGCAATCATTTATGATAACAAAAAAATAACTGTACAGTTCAGTGGGCCTTACCTGGTGAAATAAAATGGTTTAGGTTTTAATAGGTAACGGACATGATAGAGGCATGTGAAAATAAAAACAAACATGCTGCAGAATTCCTCATTGCGTTCAGATTTATTCAAACATGTTAGTTTTTTTTCCTCGTATTTATTTTATTTTTGTTTCAACCTGTTTTTCTTCTTCACGGTGGCAATATATGCTACTTGATAACGGTGACCTACACACACACACTGCACTCGATGAAGAGGGGATGTTGTAGTTGTTGGTGTCCCGGATGAATTTTTCAAACGTATTTACAGAAGAACGCAACAAGGTGCGGATGACGACGTGGGAGTTGCCTGGTGGTTGAGTGAGTGAGTGGTTAGGTCAGTGGGTGGTTGTGAATGAACGAGTGGTTGAGTGAGTGACTGGGTAGGTGAGTGGGTGGTTGTGAATGGACGAGTGGTTGAGTGAGTGAGTGGGTAGGTGAGTGGGTGGTTGTGAATGGACGAGTATTTGAGTGAGTGAGTGGGTGGGTGAGTGGGTGGTTGTGAATGGACGAGTGGTTGAGTGAGTGACTGGGTAGGTGAGTGGGTGGTTGTGAATGGACGAGTGGTTGAGTGAGTGGCTGGGTAGGTGAGTGGGTGGTTGTGAATGGACGAGTATTTGAGTGAGTGGGTCGGTAGGTGAGTGGGTGGTTGTGAATGGACGAGTGGTTGAGTGAGTGAGTGGGTAGGTGAGTGGGTGGTTGTGAATGGACGAGTGGTTGAGTGAGTGAGTGGGTGGGTAGGTGAGTGGGTGGTTGTGAATGGACGAGTGGTTGAGTGAGTGAGTGGGTAGGTGAGTGGGTGGTTGTGAATGGACGAGTGGTTGAGTGAGTGAGTGGGTAGGTGAGTGGGTGGTTGTGAATGGACGAGTGGTTGAGTGAGTGAGTGGGTAGGTGAGTGGGTGCTTGTGAATGGACGAGTGGTTGAGTGAGTGAGTGGGTAGGTGAGTGGGTGGTTGTGAATGGACGAGTGGTTGAGTGAGTGAGTGGGTAGGTGAGTGGGTGGTTGTGAATGGATGGGCGAGTGGGTCGGTGGGTGAGTGAGCGAGCGGGCGTTTTGGATGGTGGATGAGCTGATGAGTGGGTACAATTTTGAGGTTGGCCGTTTGCATCCGGCAAAATCACATGCACAGAAGAAACACAACTATAAACTCAATCTGTTGACATGACATCTGAACAACAGAGACGGCTGCAGCTTTGTTATTTTTCTAATTTTTCTTTTTACAGAACGCGTTCACGGGCAAGCCTCTCAATTTTCTGAACATCGTTTTCACTTCCCCTTGGTATTTACGGTATCCCCAACCGCCCCCCCCCCACCCCCCTCAAAATATGAAACCACAAGACGAATATTTGAACCCAGGAAAAAAAGGCAGATTAGAAGGAACAGGAACCACGAGCTTAACAAACCCTGTCTTTGCAACCAGCGCATAGGCATATCATTTGACAATCAGTGTGCTACTGCTGTTGCTCATCTTACAAGTAAAATGAAGTAATATTTGTGCCCATTGTCTTACTGCCATCAGCATCACAGCATTGCTGACTAACTGCACGCCACCCTGGGCAGGTACACGACACGCGGTGAGCAAGCGGTGAGTGGAGGAAGGTTCATCCCTTTTTTTGAAATCGTACAAGCTAAGATATGTTTGTTTCATTACCGAATACAAATACGCTACTCTATAGGCCATTAACTTTGACAAACACAGCCCTGTTTTGACAGCGCCGTCTGGCTCGTTAGCTCCACGCAGCCTGTTTGCTCTGAGTCCAAAATAAGCGGTGACCTCAATGACACAGCGCCGTGGTTTCAGAGACAGCCAGGCGCCTTCTTACATTTGTTTTTAATTCTAATCAGTTTTTAGGCAATTGCCAGCTACGTCACGCCGACACGACAACGAAGAACAGAATTCGTGATCCTTTTCCCAAGCGCTTTCACATTAACCCTCCCAATTTGAGTGTTTCCGTTAAACACGTAGGCTTTCGAGACCGATATCATCCATAGTAGAGGTTTTTTTGGGGGGTTAGATCGCGTAAATCGCGATTTACGGTTAGGTCGCGTAAATCGAGATCCAACTCAAAAAAACCTATACGATGGTTGAGTGTTTCCATTCGACGGATAAAAAGAGTCGTCCACCCTTAGACAAAAATGTTTACTTTTTCAGCGAAGCAAATGCGCCGGTGGGTTTTCGAGCAAAGCAGCCTTGCCTTCCTTGGAAGGCAGCGTCTTGGACACCGACGCTGCCCTTTCAGAGCCGAAAGCAAAAATGAGAGTAGATTGGTGAAAAGGTTGAAGATTGTTGTTTCTTTTAACCACACACAGGAGACCGGATTGTTTTCCGCTTTAAAAACTGCCGTGAACGATGCCTTTGCCCATTCTCTCCGCACACGGCCGTAGGCACGGGCAATTGCCAAAAACACACATCCGCACAGTATTCATTCTTCAGATTGCAAGACGGTGCTTGTAAATTAATGGGAAGAATGTCTAGGGCAGTGTTGTTCACTGATTCTCAGAGGGGGTGGGTTTGGGGTGTCACTTTCGCCGATAAGGCATCATCAGTAGTGTGAGGGCCGCCACACATTTTTAAACCACTGTTGGGTTTGACAGCGGCACGATGATGATGGGGGGTGTTGTCACCATTTGTGTTTTGTTTCGATGGCAGCAAATCAGGGGCCGCCAGTGGCCCGCCAGGCCTTGCAATGAAGAACAGCGCTCTATGGCATCAAAGGTGTTTTGAGCCAAGCTTTTCCAGCAAAAAAAAAACAATTCCCTGCGAGTGTGAGCCAAGTGGACGGCGCATGAACGTGGCGACCGGGGCGACGATTTTGTTTGTTTGTTTATAAACGTCCAGGCGAACATCGACGGCGTTCAAATGACAACGCATTCAAATTACGCGGTGTGTTTTATTACTTCTATCATTACTGATGCACGCAGAAACAAACACATTTATATTAACATCATCCGGCGGCCTCGGCTCTATCGGCGAGAAGTGAACGAGTCGGTGGCCCACTGTCTGGCAAGATCATCCTCACCGCATTGACGAATGTGTAGCGCTCGCTAAGAGAAAAAAGCAACACGTGGCATTGTTGTTCTTGCAAACAATGAGATCGGGTCCGTGCCGGCAGTTGGGCGTTACTCAAAGTTACAATATGCACACTCGTCTATAATACACAGGTCAGCGTAACTGGTTTATTCTGCATTTGAATGCAGATCGTGTCTGGTTTTTATTTGTCTCGCCTTTCGCCTCCTCCTCCTCCTCCAAACCCCCTAGATGTAAAACGACAAAGCCAGCAAAACGCAAAACTTGGTCGTAACACGGACACCTTAACCCAGTATCGAGCGACGTCACCGGCACACGTGAATTAATTACACAGGGATTAGATTGCTAAACTACCGTATGTTTAAAAATAATAATAAGAGAGAAAACGTAAACTACTAACTTTCGCAACACCTTTTGCAATTATTAATATTACAAAACCTTCACTTGCACTTAAAAATCAAGGATAGTATACCGGACTGACTTGGGGGGGCGGGGGGGTAGAATGAATCCGCCATGGCACCTGTGTTATTTTCTATGGCTTAGCAACCGGTAGGTGGAGTGGTCGTTTCTCTGCACAATAAACCCAGCAAACCGAAGTTGGATTTCCAGCCATGGCCAACTTGGGTGGCGAGTTCTACCTGGACCGGTCGCCGCCCCCAACCACTGCACCAACGAGCGTGGTGAGAGGTATGTTAAAATAACTGCCATCAGTTTAACACGTGGCAAGGCTTTCGCGACCTATATTATTCATCATTAAGGTTCTTGGGTTGGATCGCGTAAGTATAAATGCGTCGAAATCTTCCCACACCGACACAGCCAATTAGTAATGGATTTGTCACGTACACAAAGCGCCCAATTAGTTACTACTTCAGCTCACCGGTGTGTTGGAGAGTAAATCCACAACATTTACAATTGTGATTTAAAGCTTTCGTGACTGCAGGGATTCATCTTCTTGGTTCTTTCGGTAAAGTCACGTAGAAGGGAAATAATAAAATAATAAAAATAAAACATAATAAAATAATTCTCACGACGTTTCGGCCACAACGCAAGCAGCCGTCCTCAGGTGAAGAATGAAACACCAACAAGCTTGGAGCGTATATTTGTCAAGGCGCTCTTCTTCCCCACTCCAACCCAGATTAAATATACGCTCCAAGCTTGGTGGTGTTTCATTCTTCACCTGAGGACGGCTGCTTGCGTTGTGGCCGAAACGTCGTGAGAATTATTTTCTTATGTTTTATTTTTATTATTTTATTACTTCCCTTCTACGTGACTTTACCGAAAGAACCAAGAAGATTTACAATTGCCATTCGTTCTACTTTTAGCTAAGTATTAAGTCCAATTATATTGTTAAGCCGGTTCTAATCACGTGGGAGGTAAGCAATATATAACACATAAATGTTTAAATAAGTTACACCGATTTACTCATTTACTGGAATAGATTAATAAGCACTGGTTGGTTGCGAGGACAATAAACCAGCACTTTCACACTTAGACATGTCAGATTCAACTGTCCAGGGTCTGCCACATATGGATATGTGAATATATTAAAATGGGTACTGCAGTTTCTCACTCATTAAACCAATCCACATTTGAATCTGAATCTCAAGCAAAGGCCATTCTAAGGTCATGGAATACAACCCGCATTTGATAAGAGAAATATACGTAATAAAATGTGGCACAATATAAAATGTATACTCCTGGGACAGCAAGGCGCGGTGGACTTGGCCGAGTGGTAGTGTGTTACCTTCCGCTTGTTGCAGAGGTTTGTGGTTCAAATTCGGAAGGCAGTCCCCTGATTATAACTGCAGGTCTATTAACCGTAACATTATGCTGCCATCTGATTCAATAGTGGACGTTAAATATCCCGTGGCATCGTTTGGAGGCCATTTTGTGATGACGCCTATGATCCACATTTTTGCAAATGACTCAATTGGGATTAACACGCAGCAAACACTGCCCCCCCCCCACCTCCCCCCACCGTGAAGCTACAGCAGACTATGTCTGTGAAACATAGCACCAACCTTTGTGACCATCACGTAAACTCCGGTCATCCTCGCAGCGGCTCTTAGCTAGCCATCAAATTAGGACGGTCAATGCACTGCGCGCTTTCGGACACACTTCTGCGGCCGTCTGGAACGCTCTTCCTTACGCTATTAGGAAGCCACTGGAGCTATACACTTTTAATTCCAGATTGAAGACTAATTTCTTTAAAACTGCTTTTTGTGTTTACCTTGTTATCCTTCCCCCGCACCTCAGATTATCACGGTTGGCTACTTCCGGTGCGAAATAAGTTCAATATACATACATACATACATGTGACAGTCCTGCACTATGAATTCCAAATGTACTCTGTTATTATTTTTGACACAATGAAGTGCGTCTTACTTCTACGAGTCTTGTATGTATCCTTGATATTAAGTTAACAACCCGACATTGCGATCCTGGAATAATCTATGAGCTAACACTACGCAAGGGTAAGGCTCTATACCACTAGCCTGCATTCTAAACCTCAGCATACTTTCAAGCATACAGCACGCGCGCGCACACACATTTCACAATAATACAACGTTTGTTTTTTTCCCCAGCCAATGGAAGCTACTTAAGGTCTGTTGCACTAAGGAGATTTGCAGTTTTATACAATTTTCAGTTGTAATTTAGATAGACGTTTGAATAATTGGTTTATATTTTTTCTTTCCCGATTTCAAACCTTCCCAAACAAATTTAGCGGGATTATATAATCAAGCACTATTGCCACACGACTGAAAAATGGGGCAGTGATAGCACTCTGCTAATAATGATGGCTTTTTTGTTTTGATTCATAACGAGAACATTTTTTTATAAATCACTCATAAATATTGCATCATTACGTGCATTCCGATTGTTTAATTGGAATATATGTTGGATTAAAAAGTAAAACAGGCACCAGACCTCAAGCAACGCCGTATGTATGTCTTAAAATATACATATAGACAAAAACACTGTGAAATTAACATTTGTTTGAATAACGCAAACCTTACAAAATCCTGGCACGTACACGCACGTTGCTAAACAAAAAAAAACTTCAGGCCATGCAGTATGAAATTATCCTTTTAGAAATAGAAAGTACTTTTGTATTAAAAAATAAAAATTAAGAAAGAAGAACATTCGAAGCTACCATAAATTGTAAAAACAAAAAATAACAAGATGATGAAAATGTTTTTGTACATATAAGTACAAATATAAGTACAAAAGCACGTCAACACTTGCTTAAATATTTTCGATTTTCCTCTCCGGGAATCAAAACAAAAGCAATGGCTGGCACACACGCTACACAATACGTGACTTTATGTCTTTATGTATTCGTTTTTTTAGGTCAGGGTACGTGTGTGTGTGTGTCTGTGTGTTTGCATGTTTCTAATTATAAGTACATATTCTGTACGCAGACATGTACGCGCAATCATTGAGAGATGGCACTGTTTCGAGTTGTAAGCCTGGGTTGGAAATGAACGCAAAAAACAATATATAAAATACAAATGCAACATTTAAAAACGCGACTACCGTCGCTGTTGCTCTTATCAAAAACCTCAAAAATATGCCAGTTTTTAAGTGGAATCTTTTTAACATTTATTTTTTTGTTTTAGTTTTTTTTGTAAGCAACTATTGGCTAAAAAAATGTGTCGAAGACGGGGGTGGCGACCTCCTCTTAAAAACAATTAAGAACGGAATAAACGGCTTTGTTTTTCTCACTCACAAGCCCAATTTGGAACTGATAGTAGCAATTCTCACACTGGAATGTTTTTGTAAAAAAGAATATATTGACGTCTTAAAAGTATGCCGTACTAACTATTCTCTAAGTAACTTTTAATGTGAAATGGGTGTTTTTTTTTTACTTTGGATTTTCTTGTTAGAAATAAATGTAAAATCCACTAAATAGCATTGACATCTTGTTAAAATGAAACTCCACGTGAAGCAGTCTGAATGAATGTTTAAGACATCAACATTTCCATGAAAATTACGGCTACACTGCTCGTATTTTTTGTTTTAAAATGACAGCTCGGGAACATGCCAATAATTACACTCAAAACGAATCTTGGGAAGTAAATTATCATTTCGCAAACGAAAACATAATTATAATGACCATGGAATGTGTTATCATTAAAATGGTATTTTTTTACGCTGTTATCTCATAAACGCAATTGGAATATTATTTTGTACAGTGAGATGACTAACAACTTGAGGTGTTATACTAAAAAAATAATTACTTCCCGAAAAAATTTGCTAAAACGACTTTAATCGTAAAAAAATTTAAAAAACATGTTGTCACGTAACCACAGGCTAAAAGTAAGCCAGCTCCCATCATGCCGCTGGGTTTTGTAATTTGGAGCTACTATGGACTCCTTGCAGTACAGAATTGTGGGGAAATGTTTGGGATACCTAGGAGTTATTTTTTTTTTTGCGCAAGGAAGGAAGGGTTGGGTGGGTTAGGTGAAGATGAATCTCACAAATTGCGTGCACAACACAGAACGCCTTTGAAATTAACCAAAAATCGTTTTGGGTCAGGAAATTTGCTTCGGGGTGGGGCGGGGCGGGGGGGCGGTTAGGAGCGAGGCGACTAAGTGGACGGGGATGGGAGTGGAGGGGGGGCGCGGGATGACGGGAGGAGTTTGACGGAGTGGTGGCGGCAGTGGAAATCCCATCATGCCTTGCTCTCGTTCTGGTTGGCCACGGGCTGGGTGGCCTCGTTGGGGACCGTCTTGAGCTCCACGTCGTCGGCTTTTACTTCGGGTGCCGGTGGCGCCGTCACGGATTCAGACGGCTCCTCCTTTGCCGGAGATTTCCTGCATTCATCGCAGAAATTCCACGACAAGAAGAACAATGACAACGACCACACGCGACAACCACGAGTTAACATTTGTTTGCAATCGCAAGGGCGTGTTTGTTTGCGAGCAATGGCAATTGAAACCCTAATGTGCATTACTCGTGCGTTTGCTCCATTACAAAGTGCAACCCTTCAGTTTAATGCGGCACTCTGTCTAGTTCGTGTGAAAGGCCTGACGAGAGTAGAACACCGTATATAAATGAGTGTATGTAATAAAATTAATGTAAAAACGAGCTACTAATGAGCATGCACATGCTTTAAAATATGGAATATAGCATTGTGATGGTGATGATGATGATGGTGATGACAAAAGGCACATTTTTCACGCACGAAAACTTAATCTTTCTCATTTGGTTTAGGTCTGGCTTTCAATCCTCATGTTTTCCACGTACTAATAAACTCACAAACTCTGTGCAGAAGAGAGGTAAGAAGATCATGCTCAGAAAATCAAACCGCACGAAGAAAAACAACAACTTCACTACGTGAGCGGCGTTCGACGATCGACCGAACGTCATTGGGGCCCATGGTGATCTACAACAACGAGCAAAGCTCACGAATCAACAGAAATAAATCAACGAAATAAATCGACGAAAAACAAATCAACAAAATAAATCAAGAAAATAAAATAATGGCGTCGCCGCACGACCGGACACGGAGGTTCCAAGCACCTCCATCGACCACACGCAACACAAAGTGAAATCAAAACGGCACGACAGCCACATCACGACACGGAGAGCGGAGACAACGGCACGGACACGAAAGCACGGCACGGACACGAAGCAGGAAATCGAGCGCTGGCGTACGTTTCCCCAGCTGCCGCGAGCGCCGCGAAAACGTCTCTAGCCAAGTCGAGTTCCCCGAGTCCGTCCACCGGCCCGTCCCTGTCGCCGCCGCCGCCGCCTCCGGCCCCCGCCGCCGAAGATTTTCCGCCCGATGGCTCCTCGGCCTTGACGTCCTTTTTCGGCCCTGCGTTCGCCTCTGCCGGCTTCTCCGGCTTTGGCGCTTGGCCGGCGGCAGCAGCAGCTGCGGCCACGGGAGGCTTCGCGGGGCTGGCCACGGCATTGGTGCCACCAGCGCTGTGATTCATGACGGGGGACGCAGCAGGAGGGGCGGTCGTGGCTGCGCCGTCTTTCTTCGGCGTGTCTGCTTTCTTTTCCGACGACGGAGCGGCTTGCGCCGGAGTCGCTCCCCCTGCCCCCACCGCCGCCGCCGCCGCCGTCGGGCTTGCCGCGCCGGCCAGAGCGGCCCCGGGCGGCCGCGGAGCCGATCGAGACTTTGGACTCGGCGTCGCCGCCGTGACAACCGGAGAGCCGGAGCTCGGCGCTCGGGGATGACTCTTCGGCTTCTCCTGCTCCGGAGCGGCGCCCGTCGCGGGAGACGTGACGGCGGCGGTGGCGGCGGCGTTCTTGCCACCGGGCGACGCCGCGCTCGTCTTGACGGACGACGGGTCGCCCGGTTTTGGTTCGGAGGACGAGGCCGCCGCGGTCGCCGCGGCGACGGTCGGGCTCGCCGGGGCGTTGGTTTTGATCTTCGCCAGCGAGGCGGCGGAAGCGGTGGAGACCTTCTCGGCCGATGCCGTGGGAGCGATCTCGCTGGCGGGGCTGCTGCCCGCGGTGACGTACGCCTCGGAGTTGGTGGTGGTGGTGGCGGTGCCGGCGTTACCGGAAGGGATGGGGTCTGCGATCACTGTCACCGCGGTGTCCGCGTTGCGCCTGCGCCATTTGTTTGGTCGCAGCAAACGAAGGCGTCCGCCGGAACGAGCGGACAGCAGGAAGAGAGGTGGAAGGAGGAGGAGGAGAAAGAGAGATACGTGTACACATTGCGCACGTGTGCACACGAGGAAGGAGGAGTGCGGGTTTGTACCCGCTCTCGGACCCGATCATGGTGTGTGGGTTCAGAACGGGCACTAGAATGAAGGGTTGTTCAGACACACGGTGGATGGAAATCACGTGAAAATATTTTGACGATAAACAGCCGACAGATGTGGAAAACCAGAAGGACAGACATTTTACGTCACAAAAGCACAATAATTTGTCGCAAAACCCACGTTTACACTTGAACACAGAGATGCACCAAATAAAAAAGACCATGAATAAACAAAAAAATGAATGTACAACACAAATGTAATATGGTTTCTGACAAGTGATTAATGGCATGCACTGCACAGTGTTGAAACGAAATGTTCCAGCGCGGCACCACGAGCTGCTTTTTCTTTCATTGTCTAGAAAATAAATCGTGAAATATAGCCAAAGCAAACTATAAACAAGCTCATAAAGCATTAGCCTAACATTTATCGCTGAATTATTAAAATTCCACAATTATAAATCAATCTTTTTGTGGACCCGGTGCAATGAATTCACTTAATTTGACATTTAATTAGATGCGACAGTGATAGTGGAACATTTCTTAATTAATTAATCGGCTGTTTTCAGCCATACATCTGAATCACTATCTACACAACCCTGAGTCAAGAACTCTGAAAGTCGCCAGTGCCTTCGGGCGCTCCGACGTTTGCTGCTCCAGCGACTTTTAGCGATCCACTCTCCACGTGGCGCTCTGGGTTCAATCCCAAGCAACACTCGCAGGGAATTACCAAAAGCATGCCGTCTAAAAAAAGACGTGGATGATAAAGACCATAAATTTCGATTTAAAGCTTTCGTGACTGCAGGGATTCATCTTCTTGGTTCTTTCGGTAAAGTCACGTAGAATGGAAATAATAAAATAATAAAAATAAAACATAATAAAATAATTCTCACGACGTTTCGGCCACAACGCAAGCAGCCGTCCTCAGGTGAAGAACAGGTCTGTCGAGAAGACAGAGTCATTCAGACTGAGAATTATTTTATGTTTTTATTTTTATTTTATTATTTCCATTCTACGTGACTTTACCGAAAGAACCAAGAAGATGATAAAGACCACATTGGCATTGGCATCTATCGCTTGTCGTTTTCACAACAGCGCAAATTACAAACGCGAACGTTTCCTTCAACTTACAAGAGGAAGTTCTGTCCTGGTGGATATTGACCTGGTTGAAATGAAGGGTTATTGCTTGTACGCGCCACTGGTTACAGCATGATGTAATATCATTATTATGTGCGCATAAAAATTTCAATTGCTGGTAGTTTTGCTTTGTCCGTTCGGTTTTGCCGAGTATATTGTGGTATTTTTAATCTATCTTGTCTATTAAACTGCAGCCCTTATTGATTTTTAAGGCCGTTGCATTCTGAAAGTGTCTACTGTGTTTATTTTCTGACATTACGATTTCATTACCATTTAACAACTACACACGACTAAACTTTTTTAGAATTCAATAGGATGAGCATGCATAATATATTAAAAAGTGGCATTACTGCATGTGATACACAATATGTTTCACTGCGTTGTTATTTTCAAGGGCATTTAACTCATCTGAAACTACTCCGAATCATTAAACCGCGTAAAAATAAAGTAGAGAACGCATTTTTCACTCTGGATTAAGACGTGCCGTGTTTAACCACGGAAAATAACAAATGTGCGATGATTTTGCCAAATGCAAACAACTCACGAACACTAACAAAGTGCGCATGCGGATCCTGTTGTCTGCACGATATATTTAAAACGTAACAATGGGCGCAGGAGTCAGCTAGCACACAGTGCACATTTATTTAGAACACTATATATATATATCTCACGTAACAAATGTGTTTTAATTTTCCCCTATCTATTTAATGCGAAAATAAATGAGCCCTCGCGAACGTGAACTAACGTTTCAGCGCTTAGAATCTGCGCGCCGTATTAGTTGCCCTTGTTATCGTATTAGATGCAAATCACCATGAGATATGTCAACGTCCGACTGCATCAGTGCAATTTAGCCCAATTAAACACATTTGTTTTGTTTTCCACAAAGCTTCTGAAGCTGTGAAACCGGTGTCCACCTCCTCATCAAATATCTGTGCAGCTGAACACTTTGTAGTTCTAGATTTGAAGCTTTCGTGACTGCAAGGATTCATACTCTTTGATTTTTTCGGTAAAATCACGGAGGTAAAAAATAAAATAAATGAAAACAACAAAAAATGTAGTTGCTTTCATTTATTTTATTAACTAAAAATGTAGTTGTTTTCATTTATTTGATTTGATTTTTGCTACCTACGTTTGTAGTTCACAGCAGCCCGCATCATTACACCCATGAGCATTATGGGAAAGTTAGCATGGCGCACGGATTGGCTATTTACTTGTTAAATGTTAACATTTGTTTGAAATCCTAAACGCATTTTTCGTTTTTGATTGTCGTGTGAATGGCATGACGATCACTATCAGCCACGAGGAAACAGTTGCACTTAAGTGAAGAGGAATCCAGATATAACCAAGGGTTTAGGGGTGGAGGTTCAATGTAACGAGGACATTATGGCATTAAACACAGTGTGCAGGCGTGTGGAACATCGGTGCCATATGCAATGGGACATTAAACGCAAGCAAAACAAACTAAATTATGTGGGCAATTTAATTTAATTTGGTAAGAGCATGATCTGAGAAAATGCTATGTTAGCGAGAGAGCAAGAGAGAAAACCACACATTCACTTGTCTTTAAAAAGTAATTATTTGCAACAGCTTCGTTGACTTTTTTTAAAGGACATCACAGATTTGGTTAAAATTCATAATAAAACAAGTAACCCTTTCTCTTGGGAGAAAGTATTTGGTTTTGTTTGTTGTTAAAGAGCACATCAACAGTTTCCAGGAATGACATCTGCAGGTGTCGCGATTGTGTGACGATGTTGATGGTGGTGATAACGAACTGACACATGGCAAAATAAAAAGATAAAATGCAATTAGCCTCCATGAGACAAATTCCCGGACACAGCATAATATGAAGTGTGACATTGGCTTCATAAGAGAATGATTTCATATTGAATGTTTTGCGTGCGCTTCCCTGCAATAACATATTTGGCACACACAAAGACAAAGATCCCCGATATAGCCTTAACAGATTGTTGGTGCAAGTGCCGTTAGCTCCACACACACGCACCACACCGTACAGACATATCTGTGGTCTAATTGCTCTCAGAGCTACATCCAAATTGGTTTCCGTAAAATGTCACTTTAAGTGCACTTTGCGCACGCCGTTCTGTCTCCAATGTGAAGAAAAATTTCCAGTGTGGAATTGTCAAAACACGATAAAAAAAACACGTTTCCCATCTGGCAACATGCGCTGGAAGACGGTGGTGACATTTAAATAAAAAAAAAAGTTTCTACAGCCGAGTGTTTTGCTTGGTTTAATAGTGCCGCTAAGCTTGTTGATTTAATTGTTTCATTTTATGTTTTCGCATAAAAAAAAACACCTCACCGTCATATACTTTATCGTATTAAATGCATAATGACGTTAGCCATTACTTGCCAGGGATCATAAACAAATCTCTTGGTCCAAAAAAACCCGGCTTGGTTCGGAGGTTATTTAAGTGAACGTGATAGCCGTGTTCAAGATTCCAGCTCCATATAACAATAAGTCGATGGCAGCATTAATAACTACGACGCTAATTTGTAACGAGCACAATTTCCACTTGCCCGAAGGCAGCGACCCTGAGGCACGGACGAGCCCACCTCAGAGGTACGCTCAGTAAAAGTCAACTAAAAAGATAGTTTTTTTGAGAAGGCGCTTAAATGTCGCTAAAGGGTCAGCACGTGGATGGGGTATGGCGTTCCAAGGTGGAAGGGCCGACAACGTGGCATGAGCTCTAACTGCTGTATTTTATTCAAACAGTTAGATCCTTTAACAAAAAAAAAATTCCCTACACAAAATGTGTGAAGAACATTTCCATTCGGATCTCATGCAGCTAGCGGTGCATCACCTTGGGCACGCGAGATGCCACCGGAACTACTTTGTGAAGTCAACCGCGTCGATGTGTTCATCGACACCAATCGTCGTCTTTCTAACAGAACACTTATTTACCTACGATAATTTGGCCCAAGTCAATCAGACGTCTCGTACATTGATTTCGGTCAAATTAAGTGGCCAGACTCACACTGTCAAACCCCTCTACGACAATAGCCTGTGTTAATAGCCACATGTGGTTGAGACCCGGATCCTAACCCAGATTTCTCAGCGGCGTCTGTATGCAGAACTTTTTTCGCACCGTACGTAGTCAACCGTGCTAATTGGAGATGCGGTGGAAGGACAACAAACGACTCAGCGGCGTGACCTACAAGGCACCAGCCGCTCCTCCTGGACGTTGTGAATCTCAACACCGTGAGCTTTAGTTGTGGCTCGGCTATGGCTTGGCCTCGAACACGTTTCAGCTCAAGCTCGTGCAGCTCAGTTGCTTTTAAATGTATACGAGTGGCTCAGCCATGCCTTAGGCTCAGGCCCTCAGCCTCACGGGAAATCTTTTATTTGAGTTCAGTTTGTTGTCTTTCTCCCCCCCACCCCGCACCTACGACTAGCACTGTTGGCTACGTACGGCGCGAAAGAAGTTCAACACACATACGTACAAACATACGTACGTCCCGAGCATGACTCGGAACCATGTTCAGAGGCGGCTCAAGTTGAGCACGGCTTTTGGGTTTGATCGCTTGAGCCCGAGCCAAGCCGGAGCCAAGGCTGAGCCGAACAGTGTTACAGCGCAAGTACAGAGACAGCAGAGGCAGCGAGCGGTGACGGTTGCGGTTTGCAACGATGCGACCGACAGCGACGTACTCGGGCTGCGTCAGCGGCGTGGTCTCGGTGGGCTCGCTCGCCGGGCCGCCATCCTCGTGGTTGGCCGTCGCCTCCTCCTCTGTCTTCACCTCCACGATGGGCTCCTTCGATTCCTCCTTCCTGCCGCGGACAAACGGCAACGAGCGACGGCGTCTCAGTGGCGCCGGCGAACGGATCGCGAGCGGCGGAGAGGAAAAACAAACGTTACGACCGGACGCGCCGCCCGCACGCGATGGCCTCTGTCCATCTATACGAAGACAATTATACCCAGTGCGGTGAGTGGGCAGCTGGTGTGATCTGCACCACACCCGGTCGTCTTTGCCTCCCCATGGTGATGTACACACACCATGCCAAGTACTCGCTTCAACGTGATTTGACCTACGGATGGGTGGCAGTTTGCAGCGCAGTGCGCTAGACATTAGCCACCGCTGCCCATTTTTGCCCATATATACACAAAGACAAAGATCCCCCGTATAGCCTTAACAGACTGTTGAGACAAGTGCTGTTAGCGAGCACCTATGAAGGCCAGAACGGTACACGAGGGGGTGGGTGGCCAGCACCACGCCCGACCGCCTTAGTCTCCCTAGTGGCGATGTTTGCACACCGCACCAGGTACTAATTTGAGGCCGAGTTGACCTAAGGGGAGGCCCAAGGACCGGTTCAGATATTCGTCACTGGTGTTGACCGTGAGCAAGAATCGAACCCGTGTCGCCGAGTTCGTCGCCCGGCGCGCTAGCCGCTGCACCACCACTCCCCCAAATATATACAGGACAAACACAGCCACAGAGACGTATACTCACGAGTAGGAAGCCTTGCCCTGCTCCGGGTCGGCTGCCCCCTTCCCGGAAGGCCCAGCCTTGCCGCACAAGCTGACCGTGATGCACATGAGGAGGCCGCACTTCTTCAGGAAGTAGCAGGTGACATCGATGGCCACGAGCAAGATGAGGAAGATGACAATGACGATGCCGATGATGGCGCCCGTGCCCATCCCGCCGGCGGCCCGGAGGATGCCCGAGTCGCCGTCATCGCCTGTCCCGGAAGCGGAGGGGGGAGCGGCACACGGGCGAGGGTGAGGCGGGTGAGGAGGGCGAGGGTGAGGCGGGTGAGGAGGGCGAGGGTTCTCATCGTGGCTCCAGGGCGAGGGCACTGCCAAGCCAAAAGGAGCGCACCGCTGAGTTGTACGCCGTGAAGGCTTTGACCCACGTGAATGTCGCGGCAGGTTTTAATGAGCCCAATGTTGCCGGTGCCAACTGCCAAAAAAAGTATAGGCTTGGTTTTCGACGTGCAGTGGTTTCCGTGTAAATTCGATTCACCCTCCACCCCAATAAAGACTAAATTGTTCCAAAAGGCTATGATGGTGAGCATTTTAAATTTGCAACTTTGGAACGCAACGGACCCGGGACTGGTAGCAGTAGTTTTGTAACTCAGTGAAGTTTAAAGTTTGTTGCACATTTGCCAAAATGTTTACAGAAATCTATATAAAATTAGCCCATAAACAAATACGGTAAATTGCAGTTTACCCTTTTTGTAACCTGAATTCGCTGCTTCGCCCCATATTGGAGTAATAACTTCTGAAACAACAATGTTACACGTCACGTACACTAATACAACTTTGAAAATTTATATTTTTATTCCACAGCAACTTGCAGTGAGCCACTGCTAATTTACCAAGTTAGCTGCAGTGCACTCTATGCATTTAAACAAAACGGGAAAGAAAAAAAACCCCACGTAGCTCAGACAGCGTCCAGAATGCGACACTAACGCTGCGACGTGCGCTTTCTTACGGCAGCGTGCGCAGCGATGGTCAGAGTCACTTGTGACCTGGGCCAGGTGTTCATCATGGTTGGGTACGTAAGGTTCGAAACAAGTTCAACATGAATACAAAATGTTTTAATGTATTTATGTTGAATTTCTTTCGCACAGTACGCAGCCGACAAAGGTAATCGGCGGTGCGAGGGAAGGACAAGAAACGAAAACACAAAAAAGGCAGTTCTCAAGAAATGAGTTTTCAATGGAACGGGCACACACGCTCCCACTATGCAGGCTTCTCGTTATTAAATTCTCAGCCGCCCGTTGCCCCCCACACCCCCAGAGCTAAAGCAGTTTGCTATCCTGTCTCCATCGTACCTTGCCCTGTCAAACCCACACACCCTCTGCCGACCCCTCCCCATCCACCAAAACCCTTGCATATGCCACACATATCCACCCCTCGCTTCCTCCTCGAAGCCCTCCAGCAACAGCATAAACTTCACATTTATATATCAAAACGAGGACAAACGCCACTCGTGATAGATTGCACGCTCGGGATGAGATTCGTTTCTCTCCGTGGCACTCAGGATCCTCTGAGAGGGCGAGCTGGAAGCAGGCGCGCACGCACGCACGGTGCGGCTGGGAAATTAAGTTGTGTATCCGGGGCGCTGCATCGCTACCGATAATAAGGCAGATTGAGTGCCGCTTCGAAAACGTAGTTCAGCTACCTCCGTTGGGCGCCGATCACTTAGAGCAACGGGATCCCTCCCTCAAACCCTCCCTCCTTCCCCCCCAAGTTAAAACCCCTTCCGCTGACCGTGCTAGTTTAATTCATTTTCGTCTCTCTAACTCGTCCTCAGCAACATTTATCAGCTCTTGTCAGATCAACCTAACAAACAAAATTAACCATGAAAGCATACGGAAACTGTTTTTTTTACAATCATGACTAATAGATGAGAGAAGAGAAAATGTACGAGCATTTTGCCTTGCCAACGGGAGGCCAAGCTGTTTCGTGAAATGCAGCTTCCATTTTTGCAGCAGAGGCAAGTTTGTTTTTGGTTAGCTTTCTTCCTTACACGCTTAATTTAAAATGTAAATAATTCAACTATTAATAATATACGTTTTTGGGTTAGATCACGCTATTTATAAATGTGTCGTAACCCTCCACCACCCGACATGGCCAATCAGTAAAAAACGTGTCATGCTGACAAAAGACAAATAGTTCACTACTTTAGCCCACCGGTGTGTTGAAGAGTGAATCCACAACATTTACAATTTTTGAGTACGACGTTTCGCTGGTAATTACATCCAGCATCATCGGGCAATGTGCCCGAAGATGCTGGATGGTCGCGAAAGCCTACGTGGTTAATTAAACTATTACTCTTGACTATTTTTACCAGGTAAGGCCCACTGAGCTATAGAGCTATTTTTCAGAAGCGACCTGGCCACAAATTATATCTCAACGAAGTGGCTTATCATGTGGAAATGTCTAGCAGCCAAATACTCTAAACGTGTGATGTTGATTCTAAATTTGGAGGGAAATCGGAGGAGCCCAAAAAAAATCCACACAACCACAGGGAAAGAGACACGCAAACTGAAATTATACAGGGGTCAGGGTTGGGATCGAATCCACGACCTCCTGCATACCAGGCGAGGGAGTTAACATCTCGCCACCGTGGCGAGCTTGAACAGGGCTAGCGTGTATAAATAATAATCACATGCCAAAATGGAATAAAGTGTGTGAGAGCACATTTTACAAATACACCGAAATGGCGGAGTTTATGACACACTGGGAGGACGTAAGTGGCAGCCAAACCGCCTTCTGTGCAGCAGAGTGCTATCAACATAAACAGCAGCGTGCTGGTAATCCCCCGTTAAATGGCCTTCCTATCTCATTCAATTAAAACTCGCTTGTGGAAAATTTTAACTCCCAGCAAAATCTTGGCCAAAATGTGTAAGTTTGAGTGACACGTTATGTGCGCGCGCGGGGTGATAAATGTGGAAAAATGAGAAACACAGGCCACGTACTCTTGTGCAAACGCCATTAATTTTAAATATGTAACCTTAATATCTCATCCCGGGGAAAATAATTAAACGCAGGGGCAAATAGTGTTAGCCATGCATTTGACAGCACTCTTAAGACTTATGCAAATATTCACTAATGGCATTCAAATTGCATGGAATTTTTTTAAAACTTGCAACGGCTTCATCATCGTCATAATCATCATCATCATAAAAAAAATCACACTCGGGAAATACACATCTATGAGGTCCGCTCGTGTTTTTTGTCTTTGTTTCACCGAGGCAGCTGTAAAATGGGAACCTACAAATGCAAAGCAGAAAAGACGACGTGTGATTGTTCGTTGGTGTTTTTGTTTATTGAGCACAGAATGGAAGGTACCAAATGCATATGCCCCACACAGCAGATCTCACTTATTATATTTATACTCTCAATATATATAAACACACCAATAGCAGGAACTGCTGTCGATCTAAAACCTCTCAGTTGCAGGCATGATTGACTTGCAATTAGGGCTCTCTGAGGCTTGAACCAAAGAAGGAAAAAAAAACCTAAAAAGTTACTGTATTTGGTGTGTAAATTATACTCAACTGAACACTGCCAACTTTTTTTTTAACGAGTCCAATATCCTTGATAAAAGTGATCCTCGTTCTCTCGTCACTGTACTAATACTATCTTGAGCATAGGTATCCATTACCGTCACGTTCCTTGAATTCTTTCGTACGCAAGGCAAATGTTGACACGGCATAACAAACCGTTTCAAATTACGTTTTCATGATGCAAAATGATGCCTATCAGCATTGAGCGTTAGTGCGCGGCCATAATCAAGGCAGTTTGAATCTGGATTCTTGCGAATGACCCGCTGGCTAAAAAAATGGAGCAGTGGACATCCATTCAAACACGTGCTAAGCGATAGACCAATATTAGCAGCGTTGAAACTTATTGTCACAATCAGGGAAAACGGATATGATCTTAAGCGACATTGAATTATCACTGGAGGCGTGGACTGGAACTTGCATGTTTGGCAGCAGGACTTCATGTTCCTAATATACAAATGGTCCTCGGGTGCATAGCATCAACACCTACCAGAGCGGTACTCACAAAAGAAAACAAGCCTAAGAATCCAGCTTCAAAACCTGTGTTGCCTTCATTCATTCTTCCATCTGCATGCACTGACAATGCTCGCCAAGTGTCCACAAAAGCACGGTTCCATTACTGTGACTACCGAATAAACATAAACGTGGTCATTCACTTCTCTTTCTAGACCAAGCACGGTGCATCTATGACAACGCAGCATGTCGTCAATTTTTTGACACCGGAAATGAGTGCCAAAGAAGCGTGCGCGCGTGCACGTAGGATGGTTGAAGACGTAAAGTTGTGAATAAAAAATAAAATCCAGGTCGCCTTTATGAGACACTGCCCAACGACGCTTGAGCGAACGGGCCTCGCGCCGCGTTTTCGTTAACTGCAAGCATTCGGTCCGTTAACTTTTGCTCAGGATACCGATGGGTGGCCGCAATTACTTTTGACGATCACAATCCATTTCTCTGTGCAATGCTGCCCTTCAATAAAACATTTTGTTTGCAGCCTTTTGTCAATCAACACTGCCGGATGGAGGTGTCCCCATGCTGCAATTGGCCATGAGGATTTTTTTTTTAACAAACTTAACCATTGCTGTTCAGTGGGGGGGGGGGGGGGGGTTATGAAGATGGGAGCCAAAGGACTGGTTCACAGATTTTACTTGCCGCTGACGTTAGCCACCGCTGGGAATGGGGAGCGAGTCCTTTGCTAATTTGCCGCATCGCCACTCTGTCCAGTTCAGCAAATGCTCAATAGTACGGGGAAAGGGGCTTGTGAGCAAAAACATGAAGTTGCAGAGTAAAAATAGGACCTCGCCTGGTTTGTGTTCAAAGACGTTATCCCTACTATTAGGCAGGAAAAGCATTACAAAGTGTGGATATTGCAAAGTCATTTTAATTCGTATTATTGTTTTGAGGGTGGGGGCAGTTTAACCATGTATCTACAGCAAAGAATATTTATGTTAAGAAAAAAACATCTCTCACAGCATACTCATATTTACACTCCTATGTTACTTGATAACAATGACGTTAATAATAATATAATCTATCGGGCGTATGAATAGGATTACATTTGACACATTGAATTTAGATGGTGTTGAAAGGGGGGGATGTAAATGAAAATAACGAAGATGTGGGTCTGAGCACGTGACAATTACTGCGTAGGTGTATTGTTATCTTTG